GTCAGGAAATTCTAGTTGTAAACTAGTATTTTTCCTGACTAGTTTGGGGTTTCACTGCAGGGTACATATGAAAAAGCATCCGAGACGTGCAAAACGCCATCCGCGCAGTAAAAAATTCTTCATTTTAATACGGGCGTATTTGAATTGAATATTTCCATTATACGTGGTGTAGTGTTGATTTAAATACGAACATTTTTAAACGGTAATCAAGTACAAAATTTTAATTTTTACAACGCGTTTTTTTCTCAGTGTAGACATTCCAGGTGCCTATTGCATAAACGTGACAGGTGCGACAATTGTCGATTTTTCTATAAAATTTCAGAGCCTGAATTGTCGACATTTTTTCTGTTTCATATACGCTTGTATTAACTGTGATTTTTTTTAGAAAGCGACAGTGACAATACTGGAATATTGTCGACAATGGTGCTGACAATTGTCACTCGGACAAAATTGTCACGACAATAGCGACAAAACTAAATAGCTCCGTCGGAATCTTTTCACACAAGGTGCATCAATACAAGGTGATGTTGATTGAACAGCTGATTGCATATTTTTGTACAGGAGAATGTCATCCAAGACGAAATGGCGCAACTTTAGGATGTCAACAAAACGAATTGACGAAAATTGTATCCTATTCCGTTTCGTTTTGACATCTTGATGTACCAAAAAGCAATGACAAAATACACGGGACTTTTACTTATATACAATTGCCACCACCTTGTATGGATGCACCTTGGTTTTCACAGGAGAATTTTGTAAATTTTTTTATGGTAATTGCGCACATTTTATCAGTTTTCAATAACTTGAATATTTCTTAAAACTAAAATAATGCAAATGCAATTATTACATATGAATTACATAAAAATTTCTTATGACAGGTGACAATTTTACAACGACAATTTTAAAACCCGACAATGATAATTTGTCACTTTTTCAATGGAATTGAAGCGGTGGTGACAATTGTTTTTATGAAACAAAACAACCACCAATCTGTCGAATTGTCACTGACAATACGAAAAATGCCTGTCGTTCCAAAATTATCACTGTCACTTTATGAAATAGGCCCCATACATTTGAAAAAAGTATCATTGATTCGAAATTTTTCTAATATTTTCAAAAAACACAACTTCACGAATTTCCCACACGAATTCCTAACTTCTAGCACTTTACTTTTTTCAAATTACTTTCAGTATAACTCAAAAACTTGCTGTTAAAATTCATTTCAATTGAAGGAAGTTCCGCTGATAGGATTAATAACACTATACGGCAAAATCAAATTTTTTTCTGGGTTGATATTTCCAAACCAATTTTTTTTAAGAGCTTGAGTCATAGGTAAAACAGTGACTTCTCCGTTTTTCGAAGTTGGCCTCCGAAATCGAGATATGGGCCTTCGAAGTTCGAAATAGGATCTTTGGTAAAATATTATATTAAATTATTACATGTAAATAACTAAAAACCTAAAAATATAGGCGTAGTACTCCTTTTGCTCGTATTTAAATGGTATACAAATTTTTTTGTGCAGACTTATATTACAGGTGCTATAAGGGGTCAAAGTTCAGGTCTTCGAAAAATTAATTTCCTTATATTTCAAAAAATTTTGAACAGATTTTTAAAAAATTTATATCGTTGTAAAGGTGATTAAATCCGCTTACCTTCGATATGCATATTTGTATACTTCGTGTATCAAAATTTTAGAAAAAGGACATTTAAGAGAAAAAATACCTTTTTTTATTAAAAAAAAAATTTTTTAAACAAAAAAATTACCAACCGATTTTTAAACAATTGGTACCGTTGTAAAGGCGTTTAAACCCCCTTTCTTTTGGTAGGCATATTTGCATACTTCGTATATACAAATTTGAGAAAAACACTTAAAAGGAAAAAATACCAATTTTTTCTTATAAAAAATATTTTAAACGAATAAATTACTAATTAGTAATACAATTGAATACTTTATTTAAACAAAACAGAAAATTACCTTTAATTTTATGTATAACCTGTTATGTAAAAAATCAAAAACCATGGCGTTTTTATATTTTTATATGCCTTAGACTTCTGTTACATATACTTTCGCTTTATTTTTAACAGGGCTGTGGGTGAACAGGACTAAACACTATTAATTATTTGTTTTAGTTAAATACGGTATTCAATTGAATTACTAATTAGTAATTTTTTTTTATTTTTTTTATAAGAAAAAAATTGGTATTTTTTCCTTTTAAGTGTTTCTCAAATTTTTATATACGAAATATACAAATATGCATATTAGACGAAAGGGGGTTTAATCGTCTTAACAACGATGCCAACTTTTTTAAATCTGTTAGTATTTTTTTGTTTAAAATATTTTTTTTTACAAAAAAAGGTATTTTTTCTTTTAAATGTGTTTTTTCTCAAATTTTTATGTACAAAGTATACAAATATGCATATCAGGAGATTTAATCACCTTCACAAAGATACCAATTGTTTAAAAATCGGTTAGTAATCTTTTTGTTTAAAATATTTTTTTTACAAAAAAAGGTATTTTTTCTTTAAATGTGTTTTTTCTCAAATTTTTATGTACGAAGTATACAAATATGCATATCACAATAAAGAGGGTTAAATCGCCTTTACAACGATATGAATCTTTTAAGATTCAGTTCAAAATTGTCTGAAATATTAAATTTTTCATTTTTCGAAGATCTGACCTTTGACCCGTTATAGCTCCTGTAATATTAGTTTTCACAAAAAAATTTATATACCATATAAATAAGAGGAAAAGGCGAACCACGTCTGTATTTTTACTTTTTTTGCTTTTTACGTGCAATAATTAAAAATAATTTTTTACCAAAGGTCCAATTTCGAACTTCGAAGGCCCATATCTCAATTTCGGAGGCTAACTTCGAAAAACGGGGAACTAACTTTTTTTTACTTATGACTCAATCTCTTTAAAAAAGTTAGTTTGGTCCAATACCCAGCCGAGTGCTGTACAGTGTAATATGAACGGCGTTAATTTACCGTAAAGTATGACAGCTGTTTCTTATTCATCAATTACTTACTAAATTTTATTGCTTGGTATGGTATGCAAAAAATTCTCGTCTTTAGACAGAAAATCCCGTTCTCTCTTCTGGTCATGAAATCCCCAAAAAAGAGAGAAATCCCGCAAACTGGCAACACTACATTGATCTTATTAAAAAAAAAAAAAAAATGTTCCCCAAACTTAAAAATTTTTAAATCCGATTTGGATTTGCATGAAAAACCAGACGGACCAAAAGTCACTAAAGAGTTTTTTTGGTAATAAAAGCTATCACCGAGGTTTTCTGAATTCACGGTGTTATCGGAAGCATTCAAATTTATTTTGTATCCTGATGTGACTTCACTTGATCAACTGAACTTGTTTAAATTTGATTGGATGAAAACTGAAGATTTTTAAAAGCAGCTGATTGAGTTCCGGTAGAATTCAATACGGACTAAAAACTTTGTCGAGTTGGAATCAATCGAATTAGAAAACCCATCAGCCAATTTGAGCAAAAATGTTATCACTTACTAAAATTTTGGAAACTTGGAATTCAATTCCAGACACGTTAGCTGCCTGCAGAAGCTGGTGTTTGCTAATATTATGCATGTAAGTCCTCATCACTTACCACCCAAGGTACACAGCCACGCTTAATTCGTTCTTTTTTAAATTTTTTGTTCGATTTAATCATCAATTTATGTCCTCAAGGACGGTCATGATTTCTCGTTGGCAAGTCATGGTTATATTGAATATATCTTTGGAAATAATGGCACGTATTTGTATAGAGGTTCGCCGGCCCTGGCCTCACTAAGCCAGTTCTTCAGAAGCCAGTGAAATGAAAAATAATGTGACAGTGGACTTGAGTAAGATAAGTTAAACATTTTTTTGAAAATTGTTAGCAGCACAAGAAGTATGGATGAGTTTGATAAGGAATCAAAAATGATTGAATCCTAAATCATGTACACTGAGGGAAAAAAATATTAAAATCAAATAGAAACGTAATTGATCTTACTATTAATCATTTGTCGGACCCGGAAGAATAGGACCACTATAACATATAGCTCCCATACAACTGATTGTTCAGATATGCGATTTTTTGTTATAACTACTCCATCTATGCAGCTAGAAACATGAAATTTCGCACTATTTTCACTCATTATCAACAGAAAGTTTACAGTAAAATTAACAAAGATCGGGTCACTATAACCTGTTTATTGCCCCCATACAACTGATTGTTCAGATATTGGGTTTTACTGTAAAATTCCTTTATTTAGACTTTATCTCTTGTACCACTGATTGTTCAGATACCAGTTTTTGCGATATATGTATCTCCTTTATGTAGGAAGCTAAACTCATTAAATTGTGTTACCGGTTTACGTACCGATCACACAGCAGTGAAAATCACTTAGATTGGTGCTATATAAGGTATATCTTCCATACCTCTGATTGTTTAGATATGATTTTTTATATATGTATGTATCTCCTCTATCTATGCCTGCTGTGAATATATAAATTTATTCAAATGCAGTAATCTGTTAAAGTAAAATTTTCAGATGCTCATGAAAGGTATGAGAAAAGCATAGCCGAAGACAGCGCTGCTCTTACTTGTTTTTACTATGCTTTATTTCCCTCAGTGTAACTGGTTACAATTGTTTGTTTGTTCATGAAACATTTTCAGTTAAAAGAATGTTAGTGAATAAAAATATATCTATAGCATTCTTTTTATTCCTCGCTAACACTAAGATAATTCAGTATCTTAACTCTAGATTACAATATTTTTTCACTTGCTTTTATAATATTCCAATCGCCTAATTCATATAGTATGGTTACATGCTCAAATAATTAGGTAGGTACATGTTTAAAGCAATTTTCGAAAAAACTGTAATAGCTTCATCATCCCTATATCGATTTTCATTTCCCAAATATCGTTTCGCAAGTGTTTAAATTTAAGTGGAAGTTGCCTTAAGGCGTACTAACGAAATCTAACTATTATACTATTTTTGTATCCTTACAGATCGACTGCCCCTTGAAGGTTAAAGTGGGATCACAACGAAAACCGGCTGGGTTTCAGTCGCAATTGGTTTGTTTGACTACGGGTCCAAATAGAAGAAATGTTCAAGTGACATCATTATGCATTAATTCCAATTATGGACTGTAAGTGGAAAATTTCGCTTTCGCCTTCACATACTTAGCCCAAAATATGGCAATTTAAATCAATATTTTAAAAATATAAGTACTAGGGTGCTTTTTTTCGGCGACTATTTTCTTTTTTGACTCCCAAATTTTGAGAGAAGTATCTAAAAACAAGTTCCCTGAAAATTTGACCCTTAATATAATTAATAAGTGCTCGACCAAGGCGTGCAAAGATTTCAGGCGTTCAAAATACACGTAAACTTTGATTGTTTTTCTTCAAAATTCTATATCTCAAGTTGAAGTAGTGTGGAATTTTCATTGATTATTGAGCTAAATTGTAGAAATTGTTGATCAACTTCAAAGCCCAGTATCTCAAGAAATATCGATGCTGGTGATTTGGTGTTCAAAAACTTTTTTGTAGGAAATTGAATGGCCTAAACGTTTGTCATTTGTAATTTTTCTGTAGATCTTGTTATTTACGAGATAGGGTAAAAAACGGGATTTTCATGAAAACATTGGGTTTAGTGACCCGTACTACATCGCTGGTGGGAGTTAGGGTTACGTCGCAATGGAGAGCGTTCAATTCTGAAGAAAACCCATCACTGACCATGATTATACCATAAAATGCCCCTGAGCTATAGAATTTTGAACAAAAACAATCAAAGTTTACGTGTATTTTGAACGGGAAATCTTTGCACGCCTTGGTCGAGCACTTAATATTAATATTAAAGGCTCAAATTTTCAGGGAACTTGTTTTTAGATATTTCCCACAAAATTTCGAGGTGGGAATAAAAAAAAAATTGTCGCCGAAAAAAGGGTACCCTAATGCATACACATACTATCGGGTGAGCTTACCTTTTCGGAGTCGTAACATTTTATCACGTCTTTATCAACTTGCTTTCTTGTTTATTTAGATTTCAGTATTATTAACAGGGAACAGATTTTTAGGACCTAAAACCCTATAAAAAAGGCAAAATAAAATAAAGAAATAGGCAGTAAAACGCACTAGAAATCGCAAAAAAGGCAAAATAAGGCACTAAAAAGACAAAAACCGAAAAATAATCAAAGAATACATTGATATTGGAAATGTTTATTTTACAAGTAAAAAGAGAAAAGTTATGAACTAGTTTCATTATATAAAAAATTTGTACTTTGAATATTTGACTATTTTCTCCTTTCGAGTTTTTAACTCACAAAACTTTAATCTTTATAGTTGTAGTAACATTGAACTACAATTTGCGTTTTGAAGTTTTCTGGCAGCATTTTCATTAGATTTTCGCGAATAAAAGCCTTGAATGTACTAAACGTGCGCTCGTCGTGAGTTGATACAAGTGGCGCCCAATTTAAATATGTAACGTTTAAGACTTTCATATTATCAGGAATAAGGGCTTTATTCTTGTCCTTTATAATTAAAGGTAGAAAAGGCAAAAAAAGACAACATCAAATGTGTATATATGAAATCAGGGAAAGCTAAATAATGGACATTCTTAATCGAATGTACTCTATCCCTTTAGCAGAAACAAGGCAATTTCCATAAAATCCGTTCCCTGATTATTATAGAAAAAGTTAACGAGTCAAGACGCAATATACTTAGGATATGTAGTATATTTAGTATAGAACGTAAAAAACATAGAACATGCAAAACTAGCCTAGACATATGTATACCCCCTTAATATTATATGTTCTCTGGTACATAGCAGGGTTGTTGCGAATATTCGCATTCGCAACCGCGGAGCTTCCGCATTAATTTTAACATTCGCATTCGCAATAATAATGCGGAGCTTTTGCGAATGCGATTGTTGTGCAAGTGCACCGATACAACGTATATCTGGCAAACAAAATGACAAATTGTAGTCAATATTTTTTGCCTGTGGTCGTTGCTGTATTTGTGTAAACAAAACTGGTCATATGTCATAATATTTATCAAAATTGATAAAAATGTCTTTAAACAAATTATTTCTTAAGCTGTATAACCGAGCTAGTTATCAAGTTCCCTCTTCTACTTGACCTTTGACGTATGTCAAAGAGAACATAGTCCTTTTAATAATATATATATTTTATTTTCTCTTCTTTAAATACCTGCATTGGTTTCTTTCTTTACTATGATTTTTTTCTTGGACCAATCTTAAAAAAACGACTAGACATAAAAGAAGAAAATGTGCACTGTAATTTTAAACCATTTCAGATGGGGCTATTTGGGGAATTTATTTAAAGCAAAAATTTTAAAAACAGTAATTTTGTTTACTTTTGTGAGCGCGAGTTTCACCAATCCTTCTATTCGCAAATAGTTAGTAGCAAAAGTACAATATTTTTCACACATGCTATCCGGTTGCTAGTTTTTTTCAGTTGTTCAAAATAGCCCAACATATTTAGTAGAATCTAATGACTAATTTTAGTACAATATTTCGTAAGAATAACTTAGGGGGGGTCACCCCAAACACCGACCCACGATTGTAATAGATGTTGAGTTATCAATTGAGTTGTCAAAATGGTGGGTTGGAAAAAACAAAAAATGTCAAATAAAACTAACGTAATCCAGAGCACCACCTCGAATGTCGGGACTTCGCGCCACGTGGACCATCAGGCTCCCAATCACACTATTGTGTAGGTGCGCTCATATTGCATACATCTTTACATATGTAGGTACTAAACACACAGTACATACATATCTAAAAGAGAGTTCATCAGCACGTCCGCCTGCGGGATTTTCCTTTTTTTTTGGTTTTTCCATAATTAAGTCAGAACCTAAGTTACAAAAAAAAAAAAATATATATATATATATATATATAGATAGCTATATCAAAGAAACCACTCTTGGGCTGTACTTTGCAGCTCAATGTAAAAAAACATAAACAAAAACTTGGAATTTTAAATAAGTTAACCTTTATATAAATTTTGCCTCAAAAGTGTGAATTACTTAAACTACCTAAAAATTTAGAGTGCCTAATTAAATATGTTATTAAATCTATTTACTTAGCTAAGATCAGCATTAGGAAAAATCCTGCTTCTTTAAACTGTCTTGAACTTTAATCGGAGTTAAACTAAGCAAAAAATAAAATAAAAAATAAAAAAAATATATCCTAAATATTTGAGTTTTATAATATAGTGCCCCCTCTTAAAGTTTTTAATAGGGACACGAATTTCGATACGATACGATACCATATCGATACTTTTGGCATTCGATACCGATATTTTCTACTCGATAGTTTTAAAACGATAGGGGAGCTCACGTTGAGTAGCATTTTAGGTGTAAAGTTGCTACGTAGCAATCTACCACATGTTTTGTTTCTCTTCCAACAACAAAATGCGTGCTAGATTGCTACGTAGCAACTTTACACCTAAAATGCTACGGAAAACGAGTACCGCTGATATTTTTTGGAATCGAGTACCAGAACCCTAGTATCGTATCGAATGTAATAAACTCACTGTTCAATATTATTGCATAGTCTTTTACTTTCCTACTAACATTTGCAGCCCTGTAGTGTTGTACTGAACATTGAATTGTTTTACCTTTTGCAACCCTGTAATGACAACTGAGAACTGTATTTTTTGTAATAAACTCTCTTGAATTCTGAATTTTTAAAGAAAAGACACGCGGTTTTTTCATTTAACCTTAATTTTATAACAAGGTTCGTATTACTATTAATGTCTTCGCAACACTCACATTACAAGGATAATGTTATTAACAATTCTTCCCGATGTAAATTGGGCTTTTAAGAGCAGAAATGTGTAATATAGGCTGACTTCCAAAACGTACCAATACAATGTTTGGATACTGTTCTACTGCGGTATTTAAACTGTTTGTGTTTGCAGAGTTGCGAAACATTGCAACATATACATTGCATATTTTGAATATTTAGTAAAACAATGATCACCATTTCGATATTTTCCATATTTAAAACCCAAATGGTAACTAAAACCAAACGAAGCATCAACTTTGTTTTTGATGCGCTGATTACTCTAGCGATACGTTTCGATAACTTTTCGGATGCGTTTCGGAAAAGTATACATTGTCAAACAATTGTAGTTTGGCGTTATGGAACATTAAACTTTGTACGTATGCAATGCAATTGACGTTTTGGATGTCAGCCATAGTTAGGATTGCATGTGGTGGAATTTGAACCCGCGACCTCGGTGTTTTAAGACAACACCTCAATCTCTACGTGTTGTTACACAATATGTTAGTGTTTGACCGAGATTATGCTCCGATTTGTAAAGTGCGCCTTAAGTTCTAAACACATTAAAAACGACGAGCTACGGGCCACAGCTTCCAATTTGTTATCTTCATTGTCTAAACGCTTTGTCGATGGCGACATGATCTTTTTGAATGCGTCGGCGACATCATGAATTTGTACGAGTTTGACATAAAAGAAGAGTAAGAACCTTATCTGTCGCTGGAAAAATAGAAATAGATCTAATCTGGCGACAACCACAGTCGTCGCGTAGCCCGGTCGGCGCCAAAATAATTATCTACATAAGAGTTCGTGTTAAAATAATTTGACAGCTATGGTCCATAGCTCGTCGTTTTCATTGTGGTCGGGCTATTAATCCCTACAGTCCCTACAGTTTTATGTCGACTTTGAACGGCGATTTTGTTTTAATTTTTTTCATTTTCAAGTTTTGAGCACGGTTAGATTACACCACAGCGGCCTATATACGAGACCCAAGAATGATAGAATACAAGATTGCGCCAATCGAGCTGAGAGCAACTGGCCGTGACGTCAAAATATACCAGAATGAGAGAGCATGACGAACTGGACAAGAAAAAGAAGAAGCATCGAACAAAAGGCAGTATTGCCAAGTTTTGAATTTGAAAAAGCACCAAATTGGTGTATTTTATGGATTTTATATGAATACATAATTTTATTGTAAGGATGCCGATTTAAATTAATAAAAATCAATGTTTCTTGCACAACGGTCGATTTCTTCTGGCATGATTGAAGGTGCTGCACATATTTCGTTGTCGCTTATGATTGTCACTGTGCCATGATTTTGTTTAAATTTTTGTAAAATTGCTTAGT